GAAGCTGCTGGCAGGGCAGGGACGGGCTCCGTGCGGATCTCCCTGGTTGTCACTAGAGGCCACCACCGACCTTCGGAACTGGAGCTCTCCAGCCCTCCCGTGCCGAGCATCCAGCGAGGGATGGAACTCACGGCTCGCATGAGGAAATGGCTCGTAGATCCATCCACACCTCCCGAGATCCGAAAGAAACGTTGTTTTTTTTTTTTTTTTTGTCTCACTCGTGGCCAAACATGTCAAAAGGAATATTTCTCTTCGGAGCCACCAGCCCTAACCAAAGTGCTGTGCGAGGAGTGGGGTGCTGGAAGCGGCGGCAAGAAGTATGAGCTGTCTTTCCAAATCCTGACAGCTAAACCTTAGGGAGCAGGATGTTCATTATTATCACTTCAAATTACAACCCTTCGTTATGAAGGTCTGGGTATCTCAGTTTTCAGGCAGCGATAAACTCCGAAGGAAAGGTTACTTTGGTTGTGTTTCTATGGTTTTTGTTTTGCACAGTAGTGCTGTTATTTCCAGTGGATCCGTTCCCAGAATGTCTTGGTGACTGGTTTGAGACTGTCTCTGCCAAGATTAACCTGGAAGCAGACCCTGAGTGCTGAAACAGCTTCCAAAAATTGGTCATTTGTCTCACTAATAAGGCATGAAAAAGTGTGGGTTTTTTTTTTTTTTTTTTCCCTCTGCACTGATAACTTCACAATCACAATTCCTGTCTGCTTGCAGCAACATTGCAGATTTCCTGCTTTGAAATTGCTCTGGCAAGAGTCTCTCCCAGTGTGTGTGTTTGATGCATTTGATGTTTTCTTTTCTGGTATGGATGGTTTGGGGGTGCAGAGGCAGCACATCATTGACTTCTGTTCTGAGGAGGAGCTGTGGGTCGTGGCTACTTCAGCCTCTTTGTATCTCCTTTTCCCTGCCTGCTCCAACCAATTATTCCTCTTAATTGAAATACGCTTTTCTCAAATTATATTCCTCATTTTTGTTGCTTTCTACAGAGCCTAATAACAGCCCGTCACACTGGCTCCTTTGGACTTGTCCTTAGGACATTGGAAAGCCAAAAAAATTTACCCTCGAAGTCTAGATAGTTATTGAAAGTGTCTTCACCACAGCTGGCTTTATGATTTTATGCCTTTAAGCTCCTGATGCATATTCAGGCATTCAAAAGGCAAATTAAGGGTGTCCAGGAGAAGCAGCCCTGCACCTGCCTCACCATTAGGTCATGTCCCACACCAGGAGCTCCTGCCACAGGGACACTCCAAACTGTCAGCCATCCATGCTTCTGTTTCGTGCCATATTTGTGCACGCAGCGGGTTTATGGCAGCCCCAGGCCTGGGGCTCAAGTAGCTCATTTCAGTATAGTCACACCATTAAAGATACCATAAAAATGCAGCTTGAAAAGAAATAAAAATTTTTACAGAGGGAGCAATGATGAGGAAGCAACACCTAAACCATTAGCTGTGATTTCTCAAACATCCTGGTAGAGTCAATAATTAAGATGCTTTTGCTGTATAATGCAGGACGTGGAGGGGGGGCAGGGGGGGCAGCCTCACCACCATTATTCTTTTCTTGCTTCCCTGTTTATAGATCCTTCCTTTTTCTAAGTGATTCATACACAGGAACGGGCATCTCCCAGCAAAAAACTTTAGAAACCTTTATAGGTCAGGGTGTGGACATTGTGAAATGTTTTACTGGCTCTTCTACCTATTCTCTCTGCTCCAATAGTCCATGGAACCAGCAGGTTTAGCAGTGCCCTGATGGCGAGATTTCCTTTCTTCTCCCTCCGAAACCTTGTTAATTTTGCATCTGCACTAACAAGGAACAGAAAGCAAAAATCTTTGCGTTCTGCAGAGGTGGCTGTTGATAAATAAGGCCAAGCCCTGGCGGTGTGGGGCCAGCTCCCCAGAAAGAATGTGTGTGATTAAGAGCGCAAACTGCGGCTGCATTACCTCATCGCACACCTCTTCCAGGGGATCAACACTTCACTTACCAGAGCTGCCTATTGTAATGCACCTTAATAAGTTTTAACATTTCTACAAGTGAAATGAGCTGTGACTCATGCCCAGGCTGGAGTGCAGTCAAGGCTCTTGGAAATCACGCTGAGGATTATTCCGTGCAGGACTGCCTTAAATGGCAGGTGAAACTGCGAGGAGCCGGCTGTGAGCGCTGATGGTTTCAGCCTCCTTTTATAGGCTGAGTTCCTGTGTCTTGTTGGTTTGCAGGGGTGTTGTTGCATCATTCACTTTTAGAGTGAGAAATGCAGCTCTTTCCTGCTCATAGTTCTCTGTTGTCCATTTATGGGAAATAGAATCTATTCACTTGGCGGGGGGTCATTTTTTATGGTACTTCAAATTTTCCAATTCCTTTGGTCCTGGCCCTGTCATTTCCTTGATGCCAAAACAGCACTTCTCTGTGGATGGAATATTGAAGGAGACAAAACACCAGCTGGCAGAGTTCCATCAGTTTCAATACAGTGAATTAATAAAGCAATTTTTCAAGCCATACAGCATCATACTCCCGAAGATTTCCTTCCCTTCAAGCTGCTGCTCTGAGATTAGGAGAAGCACCACTTGTGCCATCTTCTTTAAACCCTCCCAAACACTACAAAGCCACCAAAGACACCAGCACAGTGCTCTGTACAGGGCTCGTTTCAGCCAGGCTGCTGACACAGGCACACTGAAGAACATCATCAGAGTATCTGCAGGGTCCTGACCGACCGTGAACACTTGGAATGAACCAATGGAATTATCTCTTCCCAGCAATCAGACACAGACAGGATTGCTGCGAGTGGGGAATGGCTCTTCAGGAAGTTGTATTATCTAATAGCTGGGCTAAGTAGAAGCTGTGAAGTGATGAATTCTAATTTAGTGGCTATCACTGACTTTCTTTGCAGCCTTGAGCAAGTTGTGTCATCTCTTTTTCCAATTTCTCAAGCAATAAAACGGGAATGATAATACTGCCCCCGTTCTTTATCTGCCTGGCTTCATCTCTCTGTGTGGTGTGAGAATATGATGTTAACAGTGCGTGCAAGTGGTAAATATTAGCATCATTATTTATTATTTAAGGTGCAGACCCACCCTAAATACATTTAGAAATGCATAACTTATCTACTAGAGCACAAATTCAGAGGCAATGAGTAACCAGCAGATACAGGGCACACATGGTTGGTGACACGAGCAGTCCAGCTCAGAGGAAACCTGCAGAGGGGTCTGGAGATTCTCCAGAAATCAGCAACTTTTGCCATAGAATATTTGCTTTCATTTGGAAAACAGCACGTGGTGTAACGAGTATTTGGGTGTTTGAGGACCAGCTGGTTTACTCCACTTAGTAAAAGACACCTAAAGGGCTGTGAGAGCCGTGGGTGAGTGGTGGTGTCAGCAACGGGGTGAGCCGAGAGGTCGGTGCTGGGAGCTGTGCTGGGCTCTACTGGTCTGACCAGTACAGAGCTCAAAGGCACAGCGGGGGGGGGGAAGAGAAGGTTAAAATCATCAGAGTGGTGGGGTGGAATGGGAATGGGAATTGTGCTGCCTCTTATCCAGGGGGACCACAGGCACGGGGAGCACGTCCCACCCCTGCACAGGGGACACCTGTACAGGGCAGAGTGAAACGAGGACAGGCGTGTTCCACACAGCACTTCAATTGCTTGCTTTCCCTTCTTCTTCCCTTGTAGTTCAAGCACAATAACCCAGCACAAAGCAGCTGCTTTCCTTTGATGTAGAAATAAGGGGCTACTTAGAAGTTTTGGTAATTACCCGTGTCGCAGCCATGCGGTTCTGCTCTGTAAATCTGGTAAAGGAACCCATCTTTAAATAACTCAGAAAATTGTTCAAGAAAAACCTCGGCACATTTTGTCCAGATGCTCCAAACACCAGGTCTGGCTCGTTGGATCTGGTAAGCCATAAGGAAGGACACTGTTAATTAGCCAGGAGTTACTAATCCTGTATTACAAGTTTCACCCAGTTTAAAGAAACCATTAGGTAATCCATCCAATGCTTTTGGGATCTCTTTGTGCAACAAGGGTGGAGAGTTGGGGGGCAAAGGGGGGTCAGGAACTGGTCCCGACACGCCAGCAGCAGAGCTCTGTATCACAGAGGTGGACTTTGTTCCGTTCAATCTGCATTTTCTTTGAAATTCTCCCTTTCCTTTGTGAGCCCTGTTTCAAAGCAAGGCAGGTAAGAAGAGCCCTTTGTGAGAATCCCTCATGAGTGGGGATGAAAGGGCAGGGTGACAATGTCACTGTACTGAGAGCCTGCCCTGGACACGCAGATGGCAGCTTTGGAGTGCAAATCCTCAGCACGCTCATTACGCTCCATTTTGTCTCTCCTCCTTCTGCCTTGCAGTTCTTCCTCATCCAAACATCCTAACGATGTTTCTCTTTTCCTTGCCCATATTTCAGCTTTGCACAGCGCTGTTTCTGTGGGGGTCTGAGATGAGGAGGGGGGAGGAATCCTGGATGTGACTAAAGCTCCCTGACGTTAGCACCCAGTGCAATCACCGCTCTCCTGACTGCAGAACCCATCAACAGAGACATTATTCTGAGAGATATAGTGAACATTAACATCAGACCAAATAACTGAGCTGGTTTTTTTGAATTCCCTGGGCCACCAAGTTTGTTTGAGAGAACCTGGAAAAGTACTTCCAGGCTCTGAAGGAAAGTGTGTAAAGACAGCGCAAGAAAATTTCTCTCAAGCTGATGAATAAATAAATGGTTCTTGGTGACAATTTTAGTAAAGTGACTTTGCAAGACTCCTACTCACGATGCTGCTTTCAGTGGTGACATTGAAAAGTTGTACCTGGGGAATTTGAATATGTAAATGTCATCTTTACCTTGTGTCACCTTTTTTCTTTTCTGTGCCCTTCCAGTTTTGTCCCTCCTGAAACAATGGGGCTTTGGCAGTCCTTAACCATGTTGGTGGCACTGCCACAGTGGGCTGGGGCACATGTAAGGGCAAGCAAAATCAGAAATTCCAAGGACCAGAGCAAGTAATGGATAAAAATTTATTGGCTGCAGTGAGGTATATGATGAGAGGCATAAGACCAGGAAAAAAAAAGTTGAGAGATTATTCCTTTTAAATTATAGTTAACTTGCAGAGCAACAACTGAATCCCAGACAGAGATTCCTGCCCCGGGGAGATGTGCACGATACATCTGTCACCAGCTCAGCTGTCACAGATCAGCTTCTCTTCAGCGTTTGGGTGACTAAAAAGCTCTTTAAGCTACCAATATCGGCAATACCCAGCTCTGTGTGGCCCTTCCCAGGGTCAGGCTGCAGATCATGTCAGGGGAGAGTTCACTGCAGTGAGTCCCTGTTCCACACACAGGGAGCCAGCCCACAGCTCCCACCCTTCCCGGGGTGGGGGTGGAGGCTGTGGGAGATGCCGGGGGGGAGCCACTGCTTGGCACAACCTTCCCTCAGGCTTGTGGGGGGATCTCGTTGATGGTGGAGGACACCACCTCCCCGTTCACGCTGTCGTGCACGATCGCTCTGAGCTTCGGTTTGCTCGTCCCGGCGTGTTCTGAAAGAGAGGGGAAGTTCCATCAGCCGAGGGGCAGCGCTGAGGCAAAGCCACCTGGCAGTCATTCACCTGCCTCTCAGCTGAGTTATCTTTTTGCATGTTTCCCTTTAAGCCAACATTTGTTATTGCCCTGCGTGAAAAATGTGCTGCCAGAAAGTCACCCTGGGTCTGGTCCAGGTCAGGGCAGATGAATAACACAGCGACAGCCCAGCCAATGCAAATCCAGCAGATTATGCGGGATGTCTGCAGGTCATGCTCATGCCAGAGTACGAGTTCCCAGACATGCAGATTTCTGGTTTGCTCTCAAGCCCTAACGCTGTTTTAGTCACCCAGGGAGTCTCTGTGCCTCCTCACATCCCAGGAAGGCTTCAGTCTGGAGTCTGAGCTGCGGCCACGTGTGTGGCTGATGGCACTATGGGCTGAGGCAGCCCAGGAGCAGCAGGCACGGCCTGACAGGCTCTCTGCACTGAGCCCTTCACAGCAGCCAGGAACCACTGAGAGGCTTCTCAAATACAGCCTGTGTGAGCCTTCCCTGCCACACACACCTGCCACGGCTCACTCAGGTGAGGTCAAAATTACTCCGAGGAAAATTTGATTGGAAATGACAGTAATTAAGAGTCACTACAGAGAACAAAGTAAGGGGCATTTACCTTGAGCTTCAGATTTTCTTGCTGTCCTGCAAAGATAATAGAGGGAAAATAGTGGTTATACTAATTTCAAGAAGTTTTTGATCCCCTTTTTCTCACTGTGTCTAAGGAGACCTCATCCCACTATGAGAGAAAATCTACAAATTTTACAAGTTTGTAAACCAGATGAGAGAACAAAGACGAGGGCAGCAGTTTCCTGTGCTGAGATGGCCATGCTGTGGGAGTGGGAGAATTTTTTTTTTTTTTTAATAAAAATTTACATTAATTTAGGTAATCCAAATTACACGGATACAAGTGTCTCTAAGTGGCTCAGGCTTTTTATTATGACCCATCACATTAAAATACCAACCCTTGATGTAGCATGGAACTCACAAGCTTTGATTAAGCATAAACAAACAAACAAATAAATAACCCAAATATGAGGACTCTCCTCTCATCTGTTCCAGTCAGGGCAGCTCTGCCTTACCCGTCAGCATTCCCTTCCAGCAGCAGGCGGTACGTGGAAATTTCCTTCTCCAGGCGGGTTTTGATCCCGAGAAGAACCTTGTACTGGTTATTTCGCTGCTTCATGTCGTGCCGAACCTGGCTCAGCTCCTCCTCGCACTTGGAGATGATCTGCTGCATGTTTTGAAGCGCAGCAGCGTAGTAATTCCGAGTGTCGGCCAAGGTGTCTTCCAGCATGTGTTTCTGGCAGGGCAGATAATGCCAAGAGACCATGATTATTATTTATGGGGTAGATATAACGCAGAAATGCCAGCAAATTTGGTCTCTCGCTCGAAGATTGCAAAATTAAGGCTGTGGTAATTTAAACACTTAGGGCATTTGCATAACTATTCCTGTGAAGGCAGCAGAACCACGAAGCTGTGTCGTGTGTGCATGAGAGGCAGAGCTGAGTCATTTCTCCCTGCTGTATCCGTTCTGCTCAAAGCTCTGCTCCTGGCACTGCTGCCTCTCCTGTCAGTCCTGCGTGGACTGTCCACAATTGCTCCAAAGTCTCCGGGTCACTGGCGTGTGAGCTTCAAGCTGTACAAGAGCTGAGCGATGTTTGTGAAACTTCCCCACCAACATTTTTAACAGTTCGTGCATTAAATAATTAAATGCAAATATGAACTTTGCATTATTATCTGTCTTCTGTACATGTTTGCTTTCTAGACCACGGAGTCAGCTACCCCTTCTCCACTCCTCCCCACATTTTGTTCCGAGGAGAGACACGAATTTTTCCCTTCCTGGTGATGGTTGCTGAATCTATTTGGCATGTTCTGTCAAACTCGAGCACGATCTGAATTCCAATTTCCCTCCCACTTCAGCGACTGCAATAAAGTTATTCTAGGCTGCGGATTTAAATGGAGAACTGGTCCCTGGCAACTTTGAGTTGGGGTAGGAGAGAGCAGCCCACGACACCTGCAGCAGATACCTTACTTATCTGTGCCTGCAGCTCGATGTCCAGGGCCTGCAAAGTCCGTGTGAGCTCCTTGATCTCGTTCTCGTTGCGCTGGATCTCCTCGGGACTGGGGGTTGCTGCCAGGGACGTGACTGAGCTCTGGGGAGCAGAAGCAACAGTAGAGCTTTACTGACCCTGCTCAGGCAGGCACAGGCACAGGGATCTTGGAAACAAGCAGGGAACAGCTGTTACCTGTTCTTTGTACCAGTTTTCCAGGCTCTGACGATTCTTTTCAATTATGGCCTCGTAATCTTCCCTTATTTCTGCCAGAATCTTGCCCAAGTCCTCAGTAGGGGCCGCGTTTACTTTGACGTTTACTTTGAAGTCTTGTGAGGAGCGATTTGCTTCCATATCCTGTTCATGGGTTAGCAGAGGGAACAAGCAAACTCATTTATGGAAGTGGAAAGTTTTCACAGAACCACAGAATCACAGCATGGTTTGGCGGGGGAATTGTTAAGTATATATTAAGTTAATATTATTTGGAACATTTATATATTGATAATACTCTGATGTGACTTAAACCAGTGACTTATGTTTGCTTGACTCAATAAAAATGTGTGAGAAGATCTTTTCATAGACTGTTTCTGGAAGAAATAGACTTAATGAAGAAGCACTGACATTTTTTATTTATTTATCTATTAGGAACCCCAAACCTTTGATGAAAATCTAACAGTAATTTCATCTTTCTTACCCTTTATGTTAATATTTATGGAACTATAACTAAGTTTACAGGAGAGTAATGTAAAAGTTCTATGTAATTGTTTAAGGAATAATTGGATTAAAGCATATAATTACTGTGTAAACAACATAATTACGGGACCAGTCGGGCAGGTAGGGTAACATTCCTTCTGGTGCAGCACAGCCTTCCGTGCCTGGTACCATTTTCAAAGCGCCCAGGCAGAGGAGCCTTTCGGGGTATGACATCACCGAGTGCGGACCAGCTGGACACCTGGATGGCTCTGCCTCCCAGGACCGTGGCTGGCTGTCAGGGGGGCAGCTTCCCCTGCCACTGTGTGACCCCAGAGCTTCCCTGCCCGCTTTAATAACCCGCAGACACCGAGCGGCACGTCAGGTGACAACCACAAACGGCACCAGATCAACCAAAACCAAACCAGCACCCTTTTGAGCAGTGGGGTTGTAAATGTGGAGCTACAGAGAGCGCTGGGTGTAGCTCTGGAGGAATTCAGAGCAGCGTGGCTTTTGAGAATTATTATCTAATTGCTGTGCTTGGGATTTTGCAAGAATGAGTAATTTTGCTTGAATCCGCCAGCCGTTCTTTTTAATTTGGATCCTCCGAGAATTTAGGGTGTGCTTGGCTCAGGTGAACCTGCTCTAGGTGACCCTGCTTGAGTCCAGGGGGGTGGACAAGGGGACCTCAAGAGGTCCCTCCCAACCCTCAACCTCCTGTGAGTCTGGGAAGTGATACACCCAGGACCGAGGGAAAAGGCTGGGGTGATTGAAACCCAACAGCACCCAGTAACATTTCCCATTTCCTTGAAATCTGGTGTACTTGTACCTAAGTCTTTTCTGTCCAGTATGTCAGTTATTAGCAGCTGTGTATGACAGATGGGCGGGACAGACTGCAACAGCCTGTTCTCTCTGAAACCCTGGCGTAATTGGTAAAGCAGACACAGACTTTGTGCCTCACCTGACTCTCATTGGCTGCTTCAGAAACAGGATTAGGCCCTGAATCATCAATCCCACTTACAGATTGTGGGTCTTACTCAGTTAATTACACGTTAGCAAAGATTCGAGCGATAGGATTTTACCAAGGGCAACTTTTTTCTACCTCCTCGTGGTCTTTCCTCCGGAGGATGTGCTCTTCTCTCAAGCCCTCGATTTCCATTTCCAGATCCGTGTTGATGATGGTCAGGCCGTCGAGCTCCTTCCTCAGGTTCTCCACATCCAGCTGCACTCCCTGCCTGCGACACTTCTCTGCTTCGTATCTTTATGAGGAAAGAGGACACAGGGGGCGTGTTGAGAGCTGCCCAATTCAGGCTCTTGCACACGGAACATCAAAGAGAAGTCAGTCCTGCGTGTGGGCAAGCACAGGGAACAAACAGCCAAGGCAACACATTCTGTTCCTAAAACGCTCTATTTGAATATTTTTGAGCAGTCCTAACAGTAAGATGGGTTTCGCTGTTCTTGTGTGTTTCGTGTTCCTTTCTCCCTCACAACCCCTCCTATGTGGTAAGAAATGAAATCGTTTTTTCCAGAATGGTAATTTTTCAGTCCTTCAGAAGGCAGGAAAAATCTGAAGGAATCCAGTTATTCCCATCCCTCCCTAACCCCTTGCAGTGCCTGCACTGAGCCTCAGGCAGGGAGATGCTGCCGAGGACAGAAGAGGTGATAAGTCCAGGAAACAGATTTGGGCTGGACTGGGAAGTGCAGTGCGTAGATGGGATAATTTGTAATCCCAGATGACAGTTTTAAGTGCCTTTTGTCACAAGTATCAAGTGTCTGCTGCCAAACCTGCTCCTCAGGACCTACACTAAGTATCATAAACAGGGTGACTCAAGGTTCTTCAGCAATCATTTGTGGGTTTTACATGCTTTGTTTTTTTTTTTTTTCCCCCTGCTCTACATTGTTTTTATTCACCCAATATCACCAGAGAACCTCAGTAAAATCACTTCCCTATTGGATTAGCAAGAAAAAAAACTCCGACATTTTGCTCAATCCTCTTTCAAACTTGATCAGGAAACCAAAGAAGAGCTTACTTGAGCCTGAAGTCTTCAGATGCCATGCTAGCGTTATCGATTTGTAAAAGGATACTGGCATTGGTGATCTTGCCATCCTCAATCTGGAAAACAGAGAGAATCCCACAGGAGGCTCAGTGTGGCCACGGGGTGACAGCAGATAACCTGTGCTGGTTTAGCCTCCCTGCTGCTTGGAGGAAGCATCTAAATAGTAGAATTTCCATGTAACAAGACCATGGCAATAACAGCAGCTCAGTTTCCTGATTCATTTAGATGTTCTGCAGTTTTTGTCCATAATCTTACTTTACTCTTAGTCTTACTTTTTTTTTGGGGGGTATGAACCAAGAGTTGCCATCTTATTTCTGGCCAGGTAGAGGATACGATTTCTATTACACAAACTTCATGGTTTATTACAGAGTAACAGTCACTGCCTCGCTCCGGTTCTGTGACTGGATTTTGATCCCATTCAGCATCGCTGACAAAGCTGCCTTGGGCACCTTTAGAGCAAATTTCAGTAAGAACCATTAAGCTGTGTCTGAGTACAATCCAATGCTGGCATTAATGATATGCTAAAAAGCAGCACGTGCAGGAGTGCCTTGCTGAGTCGGTGTTGTGATGCAGAGGCACCACAGGGATGGTGGCAGAGACTCCCAGGCAGGGCACTCAATCCACCACGGGCTTCAGCCTGGACTCACAAGGACAATGCCACTGGCATGGAGTTGTGGCCCATTCAGTCATTCACCTGTGACTCCAGCAGCACGGAGTCATCAGTTCATGTTTCTGATTTTGCTTTGGGATTTGAAAAATTGCCCAAAGAGGTGCAAGAGGAAGCACAACTTCCTAATTCCTTCAGCGTACTCAGGGCACGCTGGAAAGTCTTGTGAGACCCTGAAAACATGGAATGGCTTTTAACTACAGATCTGAATGCAAAAAGCTCAGCATTGTGTGCAAAACCTTTGGAAGAATTCCACCAGGAACTCATACAGAATTCTCAGGAAATCATAAATGTAGGGCACTGAGTCCTTTTCTAACAGAGAGGAAAGAGTTATGTGGCCACAATAGCACCAGTCACTTCCACTGAGCACCCACAGAGCACACCAAGGGGCATCGTGGCTGTACCAAAATCATTTACAGAGCTCTCAGCACCTTCAAGTTAAACTTCCCACACCTCAGTGAATCACAAAGAAACGAGGAAACGACAAAATTCTCCTGAAGTGTCAAAGGTTCACCTCTTGTAGTAAATAAGAAGGTGGAATGTTTAACTAATCTGTTACAGACTGTGCATTCCTGAGCAATTAGCAGCACACCTCGGATCCTGCCCTGGGACACAATCAAGGCCAGCACAACTATAATACCCTGAGCGTGTGGCTGCCTGGAATCTGCTGTCAGAGAAGAGGCAGTTCTTGAATCCAGCCTCGGAGAATGGTAAATCCTGCCGTGGGATCTACAGGGTGATGAGAAAGCAACACGAGCGCTTGATCTTTGTGCCACTCCATAACCACGCTGGTGCGAGGAGTTGCTGTGTGACTCTTGCCATCTGAGCTCCCGTGGGGGCTTTGCCCACTGCTCTGCAGCCAGCAGGGAATCCCCACCTGTTCATAATCACACGGAATTCCTCCCTGCATCCCTCGTGAATGGGGCTGTATCACAGTCTGCAAGCTCACAGATAACTTCATTAAGGACTCACATGTTGCTGTTTAGGAAATACACCCCCAATTCCTTCTCAAAATGAGGATTTTCCAAGAAGGCCTCCCGCACTGGCTTCTTCCTCACATGTCTAATGCCCTCTGTCCCATCTCCTGGAGTGCTCTGTGGGTGACTTTGCTTATTTTGCAGCACAAGGTGCCTGGATGAGGCAGTTACCTGGAGAACAGGTGCTGTTTCACTGTGTATCTGGGTTACAGTGGATCAGGCTGCAGCAAAGCAACTCCTCTCGCCACTGAAATGTTCATCCTCAGTTCAGGCATCCAGGGAATGTGTGGTCCAAAATGTAGGACCCAAATGATTAAATGCCTCCAAGGTTCAGACAGACAGTATATAATAAGCTTTCTGGGTTATTGGATATAGGATCCTAACTTTGGTCTAAATTTTATTCCAGGTGCTAAATTAGTTTCACCTTTTAAATGAATGTTTAATTAATTTAATTATGGTTAGTAATTAGATGCTATATTTTCACTCATTTTACTGGCAGACTTGCTGCTAATTGCAATAATTTACAGAGAAAGTTAAAATTCTGGGCTCGAGCACTGAATTGTCACCTGTAAATGATCCTTTCCTGGCCCCTCCTGCCTCATCCAGCACAGCCACTGGCCTCCAGGTTCCTGTGGCCAGGGACAGCTGTTTAAGGGGTGAGAGTTAAAAATCAGTGGTTTGGGTACAGCCTATTCAAAAGTGAGGGCTTTACCCCAGTCAGCATCACGGTTTTGTGCTTGTCCTTCTAAATCTTTCTGATCTATTCATTCCAAATCAACCTGAACACATTTATGTTCTCCATGAGCGAACTTTTATTCCTCGTTCAGTTAAAAAGGAAAGCGCTCCAGTGCCAGGTCTGGGGACGGTGACCTCTCTTTATCCCTAAAACAGAAATGGGTGATGACAGTTCTGGCTCTCCCTACACAGGTTGTGGTCGGAGCGCCTCATCTTCTGCCTGGAGGCAACACTTTTAACACTGAGCAGGGAGTTTGATTAAGTCCCTGGCCCCAATCAGCGAAGATATGGATTAACACCATTTCCAAGCCCTTTTGAAAAGAATTTCTCAGGGTCCTGAGAATGCCAAGTAATCGTATCGTAAAAAGTGGAGGGAAAACGACAACATTGCATTTGGAAGAGCTTTGGGTTTTGCCCCATATGGGTATGTAAAGTTAATTACACTGATTAGTCACACAGCTGGTTACAGTGCTAAGGATGTTCATTATGAATACAGATTAATATTATGCTTAAATTTGAAGACACGTGAGTTTGGGAGATTGAAAGAGTTACTGTTGAACATTAATATTAACTACTGGCAGGAACCAGAAATTCTCCTTTTAATTATAGTGAAAACATCCACAAGGAATTTGTCGCTGCTATTTTCTTAATTACAATGAAGTATTTTTCCATCTGATTACATAAGCTCATTGGTCCCAAAACTCCTGTAGTTTCATTGTCTGCTACCGCAGGAATCAAAGAGCTGGAATGCCCCAGTCTGTCTGGAGACAGCGGCAGGAGAGGGGCAGGCTCTGCTCTCCTCCTGCTTTGTAATTTGCTCGTCAAAAAGCCAGAATTCTGCCAGCTGCAGTTACTCAAGCCCCAGTTTCAGAGCAGACAGGAACACTTGGCAGCACACGGATCCCTCCACTCTCTGCACACTCCCCTTCGCCCCCTCCCAGCCTTTCTAGTGCCCACTCTCCTCCTGCTGAGCACGAAGAATGTTTATGCCCAGGCCCCGGATCCACCTTCCAGGGGATTTCTAACATTTCAAAGGGTTTTATTTAACTTCTTTAGAGGGGAAACCGCCAGCATAAAGAGAGCCCAGATTCCTCAGAAAGAGCACAGAATGACACAGTCCCAGCTCTGACTTACCTCTCTTTGCATGTCAGTGACGTTCTGCTCGTACTGGTTGAAGTCATGCCTCTTGCCGTGGGACCTCGTCCTGTGCCACTCTAGGATGCAGCTCTCCAGCTGAGCGTTGGCTGCTTCCAAGGCTCGCACCTTGTCCAGGTAGGCGGCCAAGCGCTCATTCAGGTTCTGCATGGTCTGTTTCTCATTGCCCCCCAGGAAGATGCTCTCCCCGTGGTGCTCGCCGAAGCCTGCCCAGGCTGCCCCTCCTGCGGGCAGCCACAGGGGTCTGGCGGAGGAGAAGGAGGCATGTGTGCTGCTGGCACCGCCATCTGCACTTGACGCTCTGTAAGAAGTTCCTTGCTGGGCCAAACCACACCCCGAACTACCCCTGAGGGACCCAGAAAAAAACTGGAAAGGGCCTTGGCTGGTGCTCATGCTTTAGCTCTGTGTGAATCGAACCCCGGGTTTGGCTGCCTAGCACTGAGCAGCCTCTTCGCCTTCCCTGAGCAGCTTTATGCCTTTTCCTGTGGGAGTTTCCCTTCGATGAATGACTACAGCAACAAGATTGTGTCATCACGAAACGTGCTTCCTCTTGGTCAATTCTGAAGCATTTATGAGCCGGCACGCTGTTGTTGTTTGGAATCAACCACATACCGGATTGCTTTCCTTTCGCTTGTTTGGGTTCTTTTTTTTTTTTTTTTTCCTTTTTTCTTTTCATATGATAATAATGAGGTGTGGCCAAAATCCGTAGGTGTGGAACAGGATCAGCTCTGCCTCAGACTTCTCTCTAACCCTGTAGTTAGCATGTTATGTTTTCCTGCTCATGAGGGGAATAAATGGGGAGCTGGCGAAAGGGATGGGGCTCTGCAGATAATTTTCTGTCCCAATTCTCAGATGCAGAATTACAGCAGCCTGTGGATCCTCAGACTTGTGGATCCTCAAACACAGAGGGTCCTGTCAGCCACCACTAATGACAAACAGCTTCAGCCTGTAGGAGACACCAGGCTTTAATGAAGTGATCCAACTTCTAAAAAACCTCTAGTCTGGAGTCATTAATGCCCAGCTGTTCCCTCCAGCTGCCCATTCCCAAGGGAAATACATGAGAATTAGATACTTTATATTTTCCACTGTTTTTCTCACGATTTGAGGTTCAGTCCTGTTCCAGTGGTCTTGCCACAACAGGCAGCAATGCAGGGATTTCCTGCCGTTCCCAGCACTAACACGGTTAAGATATTTGTATCTTTAGCTATAGAAAATATTTACAATATGACTTTGTAGCAACACCCAAAAGCTTCAAGCAGCTTTTTTAAAGCTGCCAGCCTTAGAAATTCACCTGGCAATCATTCAGGAATAGTCTTCCTCTGAAGTTTCAGTGATTTCTGTGGAGCTGCTTCCATCAAACACAGAGCGGGCGAGTTCTGTTCCTCCTGCTGGTAAGGGGGGCTAAACTGGGAAGTGTTCCCGTAGCAGCCCCTGGGGTTAGTGGATTACCTGGCCTTCAAGGGTAGTTCTGGTGTGCAGCTGAGGGACGGGGGACAGAGGAGAAAGATTTGGGAAGAGGCTGGTCTCCTTAGCCAGGTGGAAGCTCAGCCCTTTCCCGGGGTCTGCCTCTGCCCTGCTGCTCCCTGCTGAGCGGTGGGGTCGGGGAGACTGCAGGGAGCTGAGTTAAACTGTCCTGGGGGAAACCTGAAGGGCTTTGTTTCGCTCTTGTTTCATTTGGAATGCTGCAGCGGTCGGGAATTGCTGCACCCCAGCCTTCTTCCCCGGGTACCTCCCGGCCTCTTGCCCGACGGAGCAGGCGATGGGCTCCTCCTTGTGGCTCGGGCTCGGCTCTGCTCAGCACCTGCTCCTTTCCTTCTTCCCGGTTCCCCTTCCATCCTCTCCTTCCTCGGGCACCCCGATGTGGAGAGATGCTTGGCATTTGTAACCGGTTACAGGTTTTCCAGCGAATGCCTGGCTTGTCTCTCCCCAAACACTCTGGTAGCAGCCCCTGTCCAGAGCTGCAGCTCGGGGTCAGCCCTGCTGTTGGAGAGCGGGGTGAGCTTGAGGCGCCAGACAAAAAATGAGGGCCTAACTTGAAAAAAAAAAACAAAAAAACAAACCTCAAATTATGATAGAACTGATGATATCCTGCTGTTCAGTTCATCTCACCAGAGATCATTTTCAGACTGAATTTCAGTCCAGCAAGCTGGTGGCTGTGAACTGTTACAAGGAAATGGAAATGCACGTGTATGTACGTAGCAGTATGTGAAATAAAACGAATCCTTCATTTTGGGATATTCCCAAGCTGCCTGGCAGCGAGGCTGGCAGTGTGTGAGGCCAGAGAGCCTCTGTCCTGCTCCCTGAGGGTTTCACGGAGTTACCAAACCGTGAAAACCAGAACTGTGCTTTCTCTTGCAAGTAATTACGAGCACAGGTGGTCTGGGACATGGGAAGTGCTTCCTGTGAAGCTCAGCCTTTCCAAACTGGAAAAGACACCACACAATTTTCATGAACACATGTTGAGGACCCAAGAGAAAGACCAAACAACTTACTTCAAAACCCGACACGGCTCTTTGTCAGGCTCTGTGGGTCTAGGGTTTAGTCAGCTCTTTAACCCAGAGCAGAGAATGGAAACCATGATCAGAGTGTGGAAATAAACCCTTGTCAGCAGATGGCACCCTTGGATGCTCCCTGGGAGCTGGGGAATGGAGGAATGCACTGTCCTGGGTTGCTTCACTTCGGAATTGTGCTTGTTGTACTGAATTGGAACGGGCCAAGCAGATTGAGCTGAATTTCTAGGCTGCAGTTTAAGCACGGGAGAATATTTTGACACCTACATCGTACAGGTCAATGTCCTGCAACCATCTCTGGTTCATTCAGCTCCTCCATCCGGAATTCACATGGATGGATAGTTGTCTGTGGCTGTAGGAAATTCCCTCTCTTGCTGTTTGAGTGATGCAAACAATAGTTACCTTGGATCAGGACAAAAAGGTCCTTTGTACTGCTCGGCTTTCCTCTTCTGGTGGGTTGCGATGTTGCTTTGAAAGAACCTCTTCCCAGTTCCTTCCAGTGGGAATACCAGCAGGATGTGCATTTCTTACCAGTGGTACCAGTGATTCTGTGGCCTCACTCGTGGCCAAACTGGTGGTGCCAGCAGTGTAAACTTCTTTTTTTCAAGTATCAGGAAATAGGAAACAAAAAAGTAGTGGCTCTAAGGAGGTTGGAAGGAAAATAAAATTCTAGAAACAACATCATTTTTGCAGATTATGTGGACTGAAATACCCATCAATGGGGCTAAGGACACCTTTTCCAAACAGGTTATAGGAGCAAAATACAGCATTTAGGTAACTCCTCGTGTACTTCTGAGGTTGGGATTCGCCAGGCTCTTGGAGCTTTGTCAACATCCCCTCAGTTCCTCTGGCATGGATTCGCATCTGGGAGAAGGTGACGCTTTATTTGCGAGTGAATTGCAGCCCCGTTGTGTGCTTGGAACTGAGGACAAAGAGCTTTAGGGTTTTTTACATTATCTTCTCCATTTTTTAGTGATACCAGCTCTAGATCCCTGGAAGAATTTAGTGGCACATCATATTTGCCCATCGCCATCACTGTTTTTATTATTATTAAAGTTATGATTGTTATTGCTGTTGTTACCCTCGCTGGCACTGCCACACTGACTCCAAAAAACACCATCAGACTGGATATATTTGCACAAGCAGAACAGAAACTTTATTATGTAGGAAACAATAGAGCACTGACAGAGAACAGGCATCTCCGACCCAGCGAGTCAATGCTCGTGTACAAAGGGCAGAGCAAATCTAAGGAAAGACATTCTTGGATACATCCTTGTGATTTGGGGGGGAGTGAAAGGCTCTTCATCTCAGCATTAGCCAGTATGGAGGCTGTACTGGCATCACACCATGAAAGAGGGGACTCAACATTTCTTTATGGGAATCTCCTGTCACGGGTAGAACCAGATCTTCCCTCCTCTTCTGTGCTACTGCGGCCTCTTCCACCGCTCCCAAATGATGCTGTAGGAGGAATAAAACAATTAAACAGGGAAGAGGAAAAAAAAAAACAAAACACCACAGAACCAAGACCCTGAGGAGCTGAGCAGTGTGGTTGTGTTTGTTTCCTCACAAGATCTTTCACATATCAAAGGCAGAGCTGCCTTCACATCTTATCTACTTTCCCTCCTGGTCCTTGCACAGGGAAACTTAGGAGTGCACATCACATGTGGATTTGGAAGTATCTTGTATGTTGTGTGAACAGAAGAGGAATTTAGAAATCTTTGGGAGATTTTGGTGGTTTGGAATCCCATGGCAAGATGATGGTTTCAAAAGTGAACATAAAATAAAGTATTATGCTTTTGCCTCTACATGGTACAGAATGTGGATTTCTAGGAAGAAATCGAAGGCAAAAAGCCAACAGGTTTGTTTAATCCTATTTTGCCTGTTCACTTCAACCCTTTGTTAAATAAAAATGTTTCTTACCGTCCTTGGGGTTCACCCCTGACAGCCTGTAGAAAAGAAGAAATATTTGATTAATGACCATCCCTGACCCCTGTCCCCTGAAACCTTTGATCCATTTAGGAATTTGTGTGAACACCCAGGATTTCACAGGGCTGCTCTCAGTGGCTGGTTTCTCAGGTGTGTTGATACTAGAGGTGGTGTCAAGGTGCTTTCAGCTTTGAAATCCACCCCTGTGTACTTGAGGGGGAATGCCAACAGCCGTCAGACCAGTTCCTTGTCCTGGTATATCTCCATGTACTGCTGCTCTCCTCAGAATGCCTCCTCTAAAAACTGTATAAGGACTAATCCCGTGTATAGATCACAAATGAGAAGTGGGCATGAAAAAGCAGATTTTCCTGAAGTAAGCTGGGGTCTGTACCAGGCTCTTTTCTAGGTGGGGGTACTGATGTGTGAGGATGGATATTTTCACCTCTGCACAAATGCAGAAAAACCAAGAGCTAAAGAAACACAGGGAGCAGGTTTTTATAGGTTGTTTCAGGCTGAAGGCTCTAATTCCACTGCCAACAGAGGGTTATGTGAGACATACATATTGTGCCTGGTGCTTTCTGTAGCCGAATTGGTGGCATTTATATTTTCAGATGCTCAGCACCGCTGACGTGCAGATTTAGCTGGAGCTGTGACAGCACCAGGGGTTTTCCTGGGCACCTGCTTTGCCAGTGCCCCCCAGGCTTTGTGTGCAGTGACTCAGCCCCAGCTCCCACCCTGTGCCTGCCCTGATCTGCTACCAGGGCTGGGACAGAGTCACGTACTGCGAGTCCTGGCCCTCCAGCAGCTGCCGGTACGTGGCGATCTCCTGCTCCAGGCGGCTTTTGATGTCCATGAGCATCCTGTACTCCTGGTTCTGGCGCTCCATGTCGCAGCGCAGCTCGCTCAGCTGCTCCTCCACGCTGGTGATGAGGGCCTGGATCTGAGCCAGCTGCGCGCAGTACCGACCCTCCGTGTCCCGCAGGTTGGCCTCCAGCCCGGCTTTCTAAAGCGGGATCAAGTCAGAACGGGTTACAA